TTCTATGTTTATAATTACTAAACTATATGTTCATTATTATAAAACTATATATTCATAATTTTTGAACTTCATATTCATAAGTACGTATTTAACTCTATATTTATAATTACAGAACTCTATGTTCATAGTTACTGAACTATATGTTCATAATTATAAAGATATATATGCATTAACTTCATATTCACAATTATTGAATCTCTATATTCATAATTACATAACTATATGTTCATAATTATGTTCACAACACTATGTTCATAATTATAGAACTATATGTTCATAATTTTTGAACTATATATTAATAATTATGAACAATTTTTGAAATGTGTCTACATTGCAAGGTGGACACATATCCACAACATAATTTGTCAGGTTAATAGTACTAAAATAAAAAAATAAAAAAAAAATCTTTGGACTTCTCAATACTTGCCCATATTGATGGGCAAGCAATTATATGTTTGTAAATGCCCCTCTTATATAGAGGAGTTTAAGAGCTCATCTTTCCAAACATTTTCAATGTGGAATCAAAATAATCCCACATCATTTACAAAGGGGAGCCACCTTTGTCTTCTTCCTATTTTTTTAATTTTAAATTTATTTTGTATATAGTTTTGTTTGGATTATTACATTTGTTGTTGTTGTTATTATTATTATTGTTATGTTATTGTTATTGTTATTGTTATTATTTTAATTTTAATTTTATTTTATTATTATTACATTATTACATAGGATTTTTATTATACTTGAACAATAATATTATCAATTATATTATTATATTATAGAATATAATACCATACATAATGTTAACAATTATGCAATATTACCAATTAATAGATTTTATTTACTTTCCATTTGACATTTACTTACCAAATAAGCTTTACTACAAAAGTTTGGGCGAGAAAATGAAATAGGATGATTTTGTTTTTTATTTTGTTTTTTTTTTTTTGAAAAGGGATGATTTTGTTTTTATATAATAATATATATATATATATATATATATATATATATAGATTAATTATTACCCTAATACTTAATTTATAATTCTGATTTTAAAATTCTTATTATTATTATTAACATTAACATTTGATTAGTTTTATAAAAAAAAATGTAAATTCTAAATTTTGTATGAATAAATTTAAACTCTAATCCGACG